ACTACCATAAACGTCTTCTAGAAATTGCCAAAGAAGTGGGAGACAAGGCTGGAGAAGGAGCGAGTTATGGCAACCTTGGCAGTGCTTATGGTAGTTTAGGACAGTTCAAAACAGCCATCGACTACCATAAACAACATCTAGAAATTGCCAAAGAAGTGGGAGACAAGGCTGGAGAAGGAAGGAGTTATTGCAACCTTGGCAATGCTTATAATGGTCTAGGACAGTTCAAAACAGCCATCGACTACCATAAACAAGATCTAGAAATTGCCAAAGAAGTGGGAGACAAGGCTGGAGAAGGAAGGAGTTATGGCAACCTTGGCAGTGCTTATGGTAGTTTAGGACAGTTCAAAACAGCCATCGACTACCATAAACAACATCTAGAAATTGCCAAAGAAGTGGGAGACAAGGCTGGAGAAGGAGCGAGTTATTGCAACCTTGGCAATGCTTATCATTGTCTAAGACAGTTCAAAACAGCCATCGACTACCATAAACAAGATCTAGAAATTGCCAAAGAAGTGGGAGACAAGGCTGGAGAAGGAAGAAGTTATGGCAACCTTGGCAGTGATTATCATTGTCTAGGACAGTTCAAAACAGCCATCGACTACCATAAACAACATCTAGAAATTGCCAAAGAAGTGGGAGACAAGGCTGGAGAAGGAGCGAGTTATGGCAACCTTGGCAATGCTTATCATGGTCTAGGACAGTTCAAAACAGCCATCGACTACCATAAACGTCGTCTAGAAATTGCCAAAGAAGTGGGAGACAAGGCTGGAGAAGGAAGGAGTTATGGCAACCTTGGCAATGCTTATAATGGTCTAGGACAGTTCAAAACAGCCATCGACTACCATAAACAAGATCTAGAAATTGCCAAAGAAGTGGGAGACAAGGCTGGAGAAGGAGCGAGTTATGGCAACCTTGGCAGTGATTATCATGGTCTAGGACAGTTCAAAACAGCCATCGACTACCATAAACAACATCTAGAAATTGCCAAAGAAGTGGGAGACAAGGCTGGAGAAGGAAGGAGTTATTGCAACCTTGGCAATGCTTATAATGGTCTAGGACAGTTCAAAACAGCCATCGACTACCATAAACAACATCTAGAAATTGCCAAAGAAGTGGGAGACAAGGCTGGAGAAGGAAGGAGTTATGGCAACCTTGGCAGTGATTATCATGGTCTAGGACAGTTCAAAACAGCCATCGACTACCATAAACAAGATCTAGAAATTGCCAAAGAAGTGGGAGACAAGGCTGGAGAAGGAGTGAGTTATGGCAACCTTGACAATGCTTATGATGGTCTAGGACAGTTCAAAACAGCCATCGAGTACCATAGACGTCGTCTAGAAATTGTTAAAGAAATGGGAGACATGGATGGGATTGCCCAGGCTCTTTGTAGTCTTGCTAGAAATTTTGAAAGGCATGAATGTCTCCAAACTGCCCTCGACTATTATATTTCTAGTAGAGAGATTTTCAATAACGTTCGGGCTAGTTTTCTGTTGCACCATAACTGGAAGATTTCGTATCGAAATGTTCACAAAACAGCATACAATGGTGTTTGGCGCGTACTTTTACTCAAGGGTGAACACGTTAAAGCTCTTCTCGCTGCCGAGGAGGGACGTGCACAAGCTCTAAGAGATATCGTGGATTTAAAGTATAGCTTTCGACAAACCCTCACGTGGTCGAACTCTAGAAAATGCTCTGATTGTCTTTCATTAAGAAACGTTTCATCAGATGTAGTTTTCCTAGCAATTACTGGACCTTACATTGCTTTGTGGACTATTCGGAACGGGGAAGTCGTTCAATCGAGAATAAAGCATGTGAACAACTTTCTTTACCAACGTGAATTAGAAGTTTACATTACGTCTTTGAATAAGGCTGCTTCCTTGCAAGTTAGTGCAAGGGCTGCTGTTGAATGGGAAAAAGTTCAACTCAAGTGGGCCGAGATGAAAAAGGAACGAGCGATGGTTCTCCGCGAAACGCGACGACAAATGCCCTGCGGAAGCTTTATGATATCATAGTTGCTCCTATCGCAGATCTGATTGATGGAGATGAGCTTGTATTTGTTCCTGAAGGTCCACTTTGCTTGGTGCCCTATGCAGCATTGGTGGATTCGAATTCAAGGTATCTGTGCGAATCTTTCAGGATTCGAGTAATTCCATCCCTAACCATTTTAAAATCAATCTCAGACTGCCCGACAGAATTGCACAATAAAACCGGTGCACTGCTCGTGGGTGATCCATGTTACAAGCAAGTCCTTTATCAGGGTGATTTGTTGAATCAGCTGCCGGGTGCAAGGAAAGAGGTGAAGATGATTGGAGGAATCCTCGGTATTGCTCCTCTCGTTGGAGGGGAGGCGACAAAGGAAGAGGTATTACGACGAATTTCCTCAGTTGCGTTGGTTCACATTGCAGCGCATGGTAAAAAAGAAACAGGAGAGATTTTCTTGGCACCAAACACAAGTAGGACAACCTGTCAAGCTGAAGAGGAAGACTATCTACTGACAATGAGAGACGTGTTACGAGCCGGGCTGCGAGCGAAACTGGTTGTGCTAAGTTGCTGTCACAGCGCTTGCGGTGAGGTTATGGCCGAAGGTGTGGTTGGCATTGCGCGAGCGTTCTTAGGTGCCGGTGCTCGATCGGTTCTGGTATCCCTGTGGGCCATTGATGACGATGGTACTCAGGAGTTCATGAAACATTTCTACGGAGCGCTGGAAGAAGGCAAGGGTACTAGTGAAGCTGTCAATCAAGCCATGAAGTGCATGAGAGAGTCTGAAACGTTCAGCAAAGGGTATTACTGGGCGCCATTTGTACTCATTGGGGACGACCTGAAACTGGAATTAACGGAAATTAAAAGGTATCCATCGTAAGTATGCCTTTAATTTTGCTCAATCAATGAAAAGTGAGATGTTAATTATCACCTTTTTGTTCCTTGAGGTCAAACTCAATTTCATGTCTTTTATCTTCATTGCGTTCCTGCAGCCGAGGTAGAGGGTGCATAAGGATAACACAAAACAGAAAAAATACGTTTCTCGTTGACTTATTGCACTGCCTGTTGTTAATGCCAAGACTCGCAGTTTTTCTTTTGTAATAAAGCATGGCACTTAAATTTATTTTTCGAGGAATTCAAGAAAAATGTTCAATTTTGCGGCTCTTATACTTTTCTTGTAGGTCATCACTGATGGATTTGTTTGAAGACGAGAGGAGACCCCAGGCGTTTGGTACTGACTAATGACAATCAAAACCAACAGAGGCATGCGGGGTGACAAATTTAATGTTACGCGGCGTTGAATTGAACTGGTTGAATCATTAAATAACCCGCATTGAGGCTATAATCAAATAAGCGATTTGTTACCATATCATTTAATAATAAACTGCCAAGTCAAATGATTAAGTTTTAAAAGGAGATTTTTTGCGTAGATTGAGTGGTGTTGCGGCCATGTTTAAGACAAGTTATGCCGAGAAAACCTTTTAATTAATCTCACATGGTCTTCGTAAGGATTATACAGCGATGTTTTCTAAATCATAAGTTAAATACGAAACTTTATGGCCATGTGAGTTGTGTATTTCAATTTCATGGCTCCAAGCATCACCTAAGACCAAGTTTAACCTTTGGTGTTTGGCATATCTTACCTTTGAATTTTTAACTTGTTGTACGTTGTACATATGATTGCTTTTTTTACATGCATTTGGACATGCATTTGATACATTTTGACTCACTGGATTGATAACTTAATTTTTTAATCTTGAAGCCTTTGCCAGCTTGGAAGAAATGTACTATCCAAAAAGACTAGAACAGGCATAAATCATGAACTGTGGAAAAACCGGAGTCCATTGATATTTACTTGGTACATAATCCAATTAAAATCCATTTCAGATCCTCGTTTCAGTTCTTCTTACTGTATTTGCTTATTTCACGCAGTTTTCGCTCGGAAAATCGAGTGAAAAAGCAGGCGATGTTTTTAGATTATCACTCTTCTGCTTGATATTGCAAATTTAGTGTAAAAAGAACTTCTGAAAGAACGAAAACTAGAACACTATGAAATTCTTATTGTTACACCCCTTCACTCTTTCTAAATCTTTCCTTTTGCCCAATTAATTAAACAGGCTGTTAAATAACAAGGATAAGACCCACACCACACGTCTATTTCACTTGGAGGAGGGGAGCTGGTTCGAATGAAAGAACGGTCAGCTTAAAAGGTCATTAAGTCTAAAACGAAATCTCCGTGTTTTTCCTACCACCCTGTTAAATAGGATACATTCCGCTAGCGACCATGACTGTGCTTTTAAATTGCAGCCAAGTATTTTTGCTCACCACTGGTTCACATGTTTCACACCAAATAAGCGGGGCTAGATTTCCGACACTTATCGAAATTTCAGGGTAGGGGCGCGGGCTCATTTCCTGAACAGCGAATGCTTTTCGATTCCAAACTGAAAATTGTTTACTGACAATTTGTTCTATTGACTTGCTCACCTAGACTTTGGGAAACATTTCAACTCTTTAACCCCTCGAAGCTACTATCATGTAAAGTCTCCCTTCAGTATCAAGCCGAGCCAAGTATCTAGGTCATGAGAATTAAGGGAATGATCGCCAAAATCCTCGTTGTCAGCAGTGTAGGAAATGTATAGCAAGAGAGCGGGTTAAAGAATTGGTTTCAGAGTGAACTCGTGGAGTAACTGACCAGAGTATGTGAGGTGATTTTTAAATAGCAAGAAGTCTAATAATTCACTACAGCCATACTCATCGGAGGAACAAAACAAGGGAATCACCTCACCATTACTCCACCTCAATCCTACGCGCACAGAAAATTGCAGGCCTTTAACGTCACTACAAAACAACTAAAGAGACTACTAAATAGATCTATCTTTAAGTTAGATTTGTTTCTCGATTCTCGCCAAAAGTTTTCTTACAAATCGTTGGTAACTTTTCTGGATGCAGAGTAAAACAATGCCACCTAAATTAAGACAACTCTCAGTTTTTTTTTCCAATTCCAAAGTTTGTTCAGTTTATTTCTTCTCTTCCTCATCTTCTCCTTCAGTCTGTTTTGCAAAGTACTTCTTCTTTTCTGTTGGATCAGGTATGATCGTCTCTTTACCAGGCTTCCAACCGGCCGGACAAACTTCCCCGTGTTTGTCAGTATATTGGAAAGCCTGGACTAAACGTAAAGTCTCGTCGACTGATCGGCCCACCTGCGAAATAACCAGTTTAGATTTACTTCTTTGAGTAGCTAAGTTATAAATAGTACTTCACACTTTATAAAGCCAAAGACCGCGAACCGCAAAAAAATCAGGAGACTGGACACCAGGAGCCTTTTTTCTTGATACTATCTACTAAGCTTTTTTTCTCCCTTGTCCAAATCAAAATCGAAATATCACTATTTTTCAAATGAAATAATAAAAACGTCACAAAATAAAAGGAAAGGGATCCCCACTGCTTAACACTTAAACAATGAGCTTGAGATTTTTACCACGTGACAGTGGACGAGGGCCAGATTCGAATCAAATTATGTGAATAGACAGATAAATTTTCTCAGCGTATCAAGAACAATTAACTGTAGAAGCAAACAGCTACATAAAACTCGCAGTAGAAATTCACGGTACAATTACAGTCATACATGTAAAGTTACAACATACCGGTAGATCATTCATTGTGATCTGTCGTAGAGTCCCTTTGTCATCGATTATAAATAGACCCCTGAAATAGAACAACAGGCATGTAATAAAAGTGGTTATAAAAGTAAGAATATTCTCACCTTAACCAAATCTCCCCTGCCTAACTATCAGACCTGTTATATACCATGAAGGAAGCAAAGTATAGCAACCTGATCAGACCTGGTCTGAGTGTGCTTTTAATCCATGGATGTAATGTCCATTACGGGAACATCTCCCCCCCCCCTCCCCCCAGCTCCCCCTCAAAAGTAGTTATATTAAGGGGCTCATCCGACCAAGAGAGACTCTTCAGTATATGAGTTACGTTTTTCTTAACTATGTGGTGTGACAGCCAACAATGCAACAAGGTAATGCCAGTCAGGTGCTCAAAACTGGATATCTTGATCCAGGGTAGTAGCACTAACAAAGAAATGTTCAGCTTTTAGAAATCAAGAATAGGTAGATTGCAGATAATGAAATACTTTGTTCAAGTAGATATGGTCTATTAAATGATCATCATTATCATCATCATCATTACATCAAATACGTTTTTTTGGTACATACCACACAGATGAATAATGCTTATTGTGTGCTCTGATTGGCTGGCTTGAAAGTGATTAACAAGTACTCTTCCCCTTCAAGCAGCCGAGGCAACAGAATCATGCATCAAAAATTTAATTTCCAACCATTTCTTTGTATATTGACAGAAATGTACTGATTTTTTAAATTTCTGTGTGGTATATACAGTGTACACGCTAATATAATTATTTACCTCACTGTAGGTGAAAGTGGTAAATATTTACCTAGCTGCTTTGCAGCTCAGTTAATATCCCCAGCTATTTCACCTCCACTTTGTTGAATAATGTTTATTATTCCAAGAGGATCACAGCTGATAAACACTAAACACATGTTTAAATAGAATGGCCTACAGACACAAAAAGTCAGAAACATGAGGAAATACAAAACACAGATATCCTCACCTTAGGGTGTGACCTTCATTCTCAAGCAGTACTCTGTAATCTTTAGCAATTTGGTGGTTTAAGTCAGATAACAGAGGATATTTAAGCCTTCCCAGACCACCCTCTTTCCTTGGAGTGTTTATCCTAGAATTGAAAGGAATATAGGAACTTATTTATTGCCTCTGGTACCTCTGGGAATTCTTAACAATTCAACAGGTACAAGGATTGCTCTACTAGCTGTTTTGAGAATTCCTTAAATTACCAATCATGCTTAAAATAAGGGTGAACACTGCTGTAGCAATATATATCTTTGTGATTACCCATGGAATCATTCAAAAGTTCTCTCCTGGATGACTATATTGTAATAATCTAACACTTTACAAAAACATGTGGAATGAATGTAACTTAAAACTGGAATACATTTTATGGTAGATTTTTTGGATCATGTGTACTATAGGTGGACTCGGTCGACATATCGGGCGACAGTCGACCGATATATCGCTCGACTATCGGCCGACAATCGACCGACAATCGGTCGACTGTCGACCGACTATCGGTCGATAGTCGACCGATATATCGGCCGACAGTCGACCGATAAATGTGTCGACCGATATAGTCTTAAACCATCGATACTCGACCGATACATGACCGATACTTGACCGATACTTGACCGATACTTGACCGATTCACGACCGATACTTGACCGATGCATGACCGATACTTGACCGATACATGACCGATACTTCACCGGTACTTCACCGATACTTGACCGACACTTCACCGATACTTGACCGACACTTCACCGATACTTCACTGATACTTGGTCGATAATTCATTGCCCCCCGGGGAGGAGGGTTTATTCCACGATAAAAGATATAAAACTCTAATAAGTAATATGATTACCTCATAATTTAGATGTAAATTGCGTGTCTGGAATCCAGTTTTAAATTTCTCTTGTGCCGGCCAAAGCGCGTATCGTCTCCGGCAGCGAATTCCAAGTCCTTACAGCGGCGAAGTAACGAAGAGACCTTAGACCATGTTTTGTACATCTAACTTTAGGTATCAAAGCATATTTGTGCCCCTTTAATTACGATGCGTGTTCTTTACTTGAAATGAATTAGCTGTAGTGGTGGGTGTCTTCTTTTGAAAACATCTGTCTATCGTAATTAACATATCTTGGGTGAGACGACCCTTAAATGTGTTTTGTAAACCAATCAAATTGAGCATTCTTTCTTAATGAAGGGTCTTTTCTATAAATACATGTCATACCTAAGTGCACGGTCCTTTACCCTCTCTAGTTTTTCAAGTATATTCAACCTATTGACTTTGCCTGTTACTTTTCCGGAGATGTAGATGTGGTGTGAGAATTAAGGATCTGTGTTCACTTACAGTAGATCAAAATTATGAGATCTACAACGCACGATGTTTATTGCGTTGGAGACTTACTACACCCTTTTCAAAGGTTAGGTTATATTTGGTTTTATTATCTGTGCTTTGGAAGCTTATTTCATTGGACAATGAATGGCATTTTAACTTTTTTTCCCGCCGCCGCTGTCATTATTCTTTATATAAAGGGTTAAAAACCTCCAGTTTGAGACATGATGGCAAACGGGACGTCGGTAGAGTGAACTCGCAATACTTCCAGCCGCACTCATAAAGTTTTGATTTCTATTTCATTCTATATCAAGCGCCTGTTTTTAGTAAACGTCAAAACAATTCTAACACTGTTTGTTCCCATTGGACCGCGAGTAAGGAAATTTCATTTTCCGATGATATAGTCTTCAACGCTGGTGTACTAAATGGTGGTGACGGTTGAAAATATAGATCGTATTAGGTTCTGTAGCTTTGTAAATCCACTTTATAGGGATACAACTGTTTCGAGATATTTGTCCGACAAAATGGAGCAAAACAATGGCTGTGTGCAAGTGTTTTAAAAAACATTGGTTAATTTCCTTACTGTCCTCCGTAATACAAGATGTATACTGGTAACTGCAGTTTGTCATCCAAAAAAAAATTACATTCCAAAACTCAAATGGAAATGGTTTTTGATCGCATGCATTTTAGCGAAAGCTTAATTGACTTTCTTTCCTTTGATTTGTGAAAACAAAGTAAAATACGAGAAATTGGACCTTTCTCGGAAACCTTTGATTTGTTTTTACTGCTCGGTGTATTCATTGGTTCAAATGATATAGATATAGAATGTGAACCGCGAAGCACCCGTAATATAAATTATAATTTTTTTAAAATAAATGTTTGGGTGCTGGAAGAAGGCAATACTGCCGATACAATAAATCCCCCTGGGTTACTACCCTTTTAAAGGAAATTTGGGAGTCCTCACGGGGCAAAGAAAGGGGACGTCGACCTCGAGGAGAGAGATGGGTTCTTGGGCTTTTTGACACAGTATGACCCCGCTCGACCGTATTTACAGCTTGTGAGAAGGCGAGATTCGCGTACTCTTTTGACCATTATCCAAAGACACGTACAACCAGGCTCTTTGGTTTATACTGATGTATGGGCGGCATACAGGCAAATACAAAGGGTCTTGGGTTTCAATCATCAAACGGTTAATCACTCGGTTAACTTTGTAGACCCAATCACCGGTGTCCACACACAACACGCAGAGAGCAATCGGTCTGCAGCAAAGGACAAATTTAAGAAGATAAAAAGGGGAACACAAATCCTAACTTCCTACAAGAATACCTCAAGGAATTCATGTGGAGAAGATGGCATGGTGAGCTTCAGCCGAATGGCTGTTTTGGACGGTTGATGGAGGACATTGCAGAACAATATCCACTTTAAATACCCAGAGGTGGGGGTACTCCCATATACATGTATGTGCCGCGGGATAGGGTATGGTTTTGGCGGTTATCGTTTTGCCTCTGTTGGCATTGTGTTTCCGTTGTGATCTTTAGATAGGATATGTAAATTGTATCGGCTAAAATTGCAGTGTGTAAATGGCCAGCTAAATAAAAAGCAAATTCCGCTAAAATTGTCAACAAAGCGATTTTATCGAGATTTGTGTTTTGCCGCGCGTGGTTAGCCGTTGTTTGGTTATTGTTTTTCCTTGAATAGGGTGTCATATTTCGTGTTTGGACAATTCTCGTTTGTTTCATCCTTAAAGTGGGACAGGGTTCAAGACTCTTCGAGGCACACACTTATTCAAAATTTACGGGAGTACCCCCCTCCCCCGAAACGGGACAGTTCTTGTGACCTTAGTGCAACATTGGTGAAATTTGGTTTTTTTTTCAATTTTAGACTCAGAAGCATATACGGTAAAAACCCGCTAATAGGAACCTAATTTTTTCCCAAGCAAGGCTAAGAAGGTTATTATAAAAGATGGTGCTTAACTGGAAAATTTGGCTACTCAGGTTCTTTAACAGGTTCTTGTTTTCAAATAGACTGCGAGCAGTCTCTTTTGCTGTGAAATCCCACTGGAACGAACGGGGAAAAAGCGGACGTGATCGACGAGCGATGAGGGGCGAGGCCGTGATCTGCGAGAAGCAGGGGCGCCTGTCACAGCGAAAAGAGATCGCAGCTTGGCCGCTCACCGCTCGTCGATCGCGCCCTCTGCTCGCAGTCTAGTTTTCAAAATAAATGAGTTGTTTGTCATTGGAGGGCGTGGCCTATTTTTGGTATTGTATGCATAATATGTTAAAAATCCAAGCATATATTTACCAAGTTTACAAAGCTATCCAAGATAAACAGAACAAAACGCAACATTAATACATGGAACGGTGTTGTTGCTTTGACTGAATTTCTCAAAAAAAAGAACCTGTTTCAAAGTTGTAGGCTAAAACAGGTTCTCGTGTAAAAGGAGTTTTAATGCACAATTTTTGTCTAACATTTTCAGTTAATCTATTTTTTCTTAAAATCTAGGTTCTTAAAAAAGGGTTTTTTACTGTACCTGTAATAAATTCAAACATTGCAATAGTCTAGCACACTCAAGTTATTTTACGCGAGGTATTTTGAGCATTTGACGTCATTTTCCCTAATTCTCAACCAGGCTATAATTGGAATGAGATAAAGAAATGGCGACTGCAACTTCTCGGAAATAAAAATACAAATAAAAAAAAAGATTTCTGATGGTCGTAATGGATTGATATTTAGCAAGGTATTTTAGACAGTCATATTTTACACGAAATTATAAAAAATGGATATGGATAGTTTGATCGTAGTAGCACTTTAAAAACATTACTTTCCCCCTACACTTCTGGAGGTGGAAGTCTACGAGAAGTTTCCATTTACCCACTTTTTGTTTAGCAATTTATTAAAGCTTTGAATATCTATCATCTTGAGGCCTCCTTTATCGTAATCATTGATCATTTGTGTCCTTTTAAGTTTGTCCCCTTTGCTTTCCCAGAGAAAGTCATATAGCAGGGTATCGATTTCCTTAAGTGCACCCTGATGCGTTGGAAGAGAGGTTAAAACATGTACAATTTGGGATACTGCCAAAGCTTTTATTATCATGATTTTACCTAGAAGAGTAAGTCTCCTAGCAGACCAGCTGCTTAGGATGTCTTTTACTCTCTCAATTTTCTCTGAAAAAATGGCATCGCCAGAACACATCAGAACGCTTTAAAGGTAGTGCAAAATGCGATAGAGAATTTGGAGCTATGCGATGTTTGGAGAATTTTTAATCCAAATGGCAAGAGGATTATCTGGAGGCAAAGACAACTAGATATTCATTGCAGACTTGATTTTATTTTAATAAGTCAAACTACAGTACTTACCCGCTTATAAGAATCTGAGTTCTCAGTTCTAAATGTATTCGTAGGGTGTACTCATGTGAATTCTAATTCAAAACCAACATGTACATACTACTGTTTTTCATACACTATTTATACCAAATTTAGAGATTTTTATAGTTCATACATGTTTAAGTTCACTACTTTTGAGAGTCATGTCTTTTATCTTTGCCTGAAGATCTTTAAGGTTTATTTTCTAAAACAGGAACCTGTTTCAAATTTAGGCTAAATAGGTTCTTATGTAAAGGGGGTCTAAATTGATATTTTTAGGCTAACAGGTTCGTGAATTCTAGGTTCTTATAAGCGGATTAGTACTGTATTTCCGATAGGTGGGTGCCGCGGAGTTCCCTATTTAAGGATAAAAAAAATTGATACCGTTGTTAAGGCCCAAACCCCCAAAAAGACGCCTTATTCTAGGTAAAATAACAATCATGAAAAAACAAACAAACAACGGCTGACCTCGCACTGCAAAAAGAAGTCTTTATAAAATCGCTTTGCTTATGAGTTTAACCGCCTAGTTTAGTTTCAAAAGATCATTTACTTTTCGTTTAGCAGGGCAGTTACACACTGCAGTTTTAGCTGATACAATTTAGGTGGATCCTATTACCGACATAAACTGGACAGTTAATATCGGTAACGTTGTACAAGCAATATAACGTTAAGGACCTGTTAGAGCTATAAGAGCTAAGGAATAATAATCATTTTAGGTATGTTGGATTAAGGGCAGCATGACATCAGGGATAAAGCATAAGCCGGGTAGTTTTAGGAATAATGGAAATACGTTAAGGTACAACATTAGTTACACAAGAGCGACCAACTTTATAATGTATTTTTCCATTACCAAATCGGAACATATATCGAAAAAACCTCGCACTCTTTCTTAGCCTATTTTCTTCTGAGCGATATGGTCGATAAGTGAACCTATACTTGGCCGATACTTGACCGATACTTGGCCGATACTTGACCGACACTTGACAGATACTTGACCGACACTTGACCGATCCTCGACCGATCCTCGACCGATACTTGACCGCTACTTGACCAGCAGTTGATCGCTACATATCGGCCGACAGTCGGTCGATATATCGGTTGATCATCGGTCGACCGACATATCGGTCGACTGTCGCCCGATATGTCGACCGAGTCCACCTATAGTACACATGATCCGACATTTCTACCTCGTGACAATGGACGAGGGCCAGACTCACATCAAATTATACGGATGGACAGATAAACTTTCTTAGCGTATCAAAAACGATTAACTGTAGACGCACAACTCCATGAAACTCGCGGTACAAATTCACGGTACAATTACAGTCATACATGTACAGTTACAACATACCAGTAGATCATTCATTGTGATCTGTCGTGGAGTCCCTTTGTCATCGATTATAAATAGACCCCTGAAACAGAACAGGCATGGAAAATAAGTGGTCATAAGAGTGAGAATATTCTCACCTTCACCAAATCCTCCTACCTAACTATCAGACCTCATCTTGTTTCACTTGGCTGGAAATAATGTGAACAAGAGTGTTTTTAATCCATGGATGTTGTGTCCATAACAGGCAAGACACTCCCTCCCCCCTCCCCCAGCTCCCCCTTGAATATAATAAAATTAAGGGGAAAAAATACCCAACCAAGAGAGACACTTTGATATATGAGTTAAGTCTTTCTTAACTGTGAGGTGTGACAGCCAACAATGCAACAATCATCATTATCATTATCGTTGTCATCATCATTATCATCATTACATCAAATATGTATCTTTGGTATATACCTCACAGATGAATAGTGCTTTTTGTGTGCACTGATTGGCTGGCTTGAAAGTGATTAACAAGTACTCTTCACCTTGGAGCAGCCGAGGCAACAGAGTCATCCATCAAAAATTTTATTTCCAACCATTTTTTTGTATATTGAGAGAAATTTGTTGATTTTTTAAAATTTCTGTGTGGTGTATACAGTGTACATACTAATATAATTATTTACCTCCATGTAAGTGTCAAAGTGGTGGATAATTACCTAGCTGCTTTGCAGCTTGGTTAATATCCACAGCTATTCACCCCACTTCCTTCAATAATGTTTATTATTCCTAGATGATCACAGCTGACAAACACTGAACACATCATAATTAAATAAAATGGCTTACAGACACAAAAAGTCAGAAACATTAGGAAATACAAAACATAGATGTCCTCACCTTAAGGTGTGACCTTCATTCTTAAGCAGTACTCTGTAATCTTTAGCAATTTGGTGGTTTAAGTCAGATAACAGAGGATATTTAAGCCTTCCCAGACCACCCTCTTTCCTTGGAGTGTTTATCCTAGAATTGAAAGGAATATAGGAACTTATTTATTGCCTCTGGTACCTCTGGGAATTCTTAACAATTCAACAGGCACAAGGATTGCTCTACTAGCTGTTTTGAGAATTCCTTAAATTACCAATCATGCTTAAAATAAGGGTGAACACTACTGTAGCAATATATATCTTTGTCATTACCCATGAAATTATTCAAAAGTTTTCTCTCCTGGATGACTATATTGTAATAATCTAACACTTAACACAAACATGTAGAATGAATGTAACTTAAAACTGGAATACATTTTATGGTAGATTTTTTACCAAAAATGGAAATTTTTCCTTTTTACTTTAATTTCTGGCATTCTACAAATCTTCAATATAAATTGGAAATACCTTTCTCTGTTTTCTTAAAACTCTCAAATCCTTTAAAGTTACAAATTCAGTTAAAATTTAGGATTGACCCTTAAACCCCTGAGAGTGACTAACATCTAATTTCTCCTTACAACATCATCCCTAAATCAAACATTTAGGTCATGAGAATAAAGGAGATGATCACCAACTAAAGAAACTCTTGATTGTTGAACAAATTCTCCTTGTCAGAACCCTTGGAAATGTCTAGAGAGTAGTAATGGAGAATATACATACTGATGTTAGGGTGTAAAGGGTTAACATACCAAGCCAAATGGGTAAAAACTGAATCTACTGAACAACCAACAATTTCAGTGTTGATTGCCCTGAACTCTTCAATTCTGTCACTAAAGGCAGTGATCTCTGTTGGACAAACAAAAGTGCTGCAAATGACAACAAATAGGTGTTATTTGTAATGATTCAATTTAAAATAATATGTATGCAATTAATGAAACTTTTAATATCAGTCACCTTGAGAACAATGTTGACTACTCGGTAGCAATTGCAGAGAGATGACTAATTTGGCAGGATAGCATGAAGGTTGCAAAGTACAGCAAACTTTAGTCAAAGAGTATTATAACATCTAATACTCACAAGTCAAGGGGATAGAAAAAGAACACCAGATATTTTCCTGTGTAGGAAAAAGGAATAAATATAACACAAATTAGAATAAACTGGAAAGAAAAGACAAATCATCAACAGATGACCAAAAACATCAAGTGAACATGCAAGAATTTGAGCAAGGGGAAGGTTTATCAAAAATCTGTAGAAAAAACTGGAAGAAGAAGACAAATCATTAACAGATAATGAGAAACATCACAGAAACATGCCAAAAATTGAGCAAGGGGAAGGTTTTTGAAAGAGATAATAATATTTTTAACCAATGTTTCATTAGATGTATTTGGTCACAACAGGTCACTTGACTGAATCTGCCTCGTGCATCTCCAAACAGGCAATGCCCGTGCACTGACAAATATGTGTTCATTCAAGCCCAGGCAGAGGCCTCTGTTTATATAATAGCACATACAAAAAGGAAAATATTTATAAGCATTAAAGTTTCAAACTGCTCCTGGCAGAATTACTAGTAGCCACATACAAGATCTTTACAAACCTGTGACTGGACTTCACATATGGCTCTCAGTTTTCCAAGTTACAGCTGTATCTATGAGCTCACAGAAAAAAAGCTTACCTCTAGAATCAGTCATCTTCAAATATTTGAACTCTCCATTAACGACTGCAGTCCCTTCCCAATAATCGAGGTTCTGGTTTAGAAACTGTGCAGAAAAAGACTCAAAGGTCACCATTTTACATCTAAAGGACAATATTTATATCAAAATCAGAAACAAAAAGGGAACACAAAAAAGATTTCTCCTATCAAGAACTCAGATATTCTGGGACTGAATTGCCCTTTCCAAACACCGAAGACTTTTTTGCTACACTTCACCACCCCTTTCTCAATAACTCCAAAGAGCTGAGTTTAAGCAAAGGGTGTTCCCAATCCCATTCAAACACTGATTTTAGAAAAATTCATGTTTCACCAATACTTTAAAGAGCATTTCATGCATCAAAAATTTAAAAGGAAAATTTCATATCACTCTTTTTAAGTGCAAGGTTCCAGGCAGGGAAATCTTTAGGTTTTCACAAAATGATAGAAAAAATAAGCTGGTTTCATAATAGGAGGCAAATCAGGCTTCAAAATGCTTCATAAATTCACAAATTGAGCTAGCCTTTCTTTAAAATTCACATGTCACAAATTAATTTTGACATTAATCACAAGTTTACTGTACATATAAACCTTTTGCCATCCTCTCCAAACATTTGATTTTTTATGAGCCACTCCAACTGTTAAATGTTCATCATTCCATGTCAACTACTTCAGAGAATCTGGAGTTACCACATTTACAATGTATTTGGCTGTAACCAATATCCTTGCTATGAGCCATTTAAGACACCAAACTTCCAATGTGTAAAATTAACTCAACCCTTTAAATTCCAAGATATGGCTGTTAATTCTCTCTTCTAGCTGCTACTTATTTCCTTATAAATTAGTAACAAGAATTTGGTGTTAAATCAAGATAACAAATTCTAATTGAGAAGCATTCTCATCACCTGTTTGCTGGATAATGTATGAACATTATAAGGAAAAATTACACATTTGTCACTTTTGGGAATTAAAGGGTGAACCAACGTGAATAAGTCAAGACCTATTCTTGGACTTTATGTACATGTATAACAAAGACCCAACAATTTTGCATAAATTTACATTAAAAACTGCTTTTCTCTCAAATGAAATTTGTAAAAAAGCTATGCAATGAAAAGATGAAAGTTAACAAAGGTTCCCCTGCATAAAACACATGCATAAAAAAACTGAAGCTTTACTTTGAGTGAAAATAACTTGGCTTATAGCTGAATAATTACAGTATATCGAAATAATACCCTCAAGGTCACAAGTTTTTCAATTGTTATCACCTAGCTGTTGTTGATATTGTCAATACAGTTACTGTTATTAAGTGAATTGAGAAACATGATTTTGAAATAAATGTCACCTTACAGCTTATGGCAACCTTGAGTAAATGCTGCAATGCAAATGCTGAAAATCTAATAAACACCTTGACTTTTGATCAAAGGAGCAATGAAAGTGGATCATTTGTAAATTTTCCACAAAATTAACATTAAAAAAATTATGAGTGCTTGAAAATTTCAATTGATGATTTGTTAAGACCAAAATTGAGACTCCAGACTGCAGACTGGGCACAAAGTACATGCTGCATCAAAATATTTCTTCCTTGCTAAACACACCATACCAGCATGTATTAGTATAAGATGCTGAGTGAAAAACACTTAATAATATTCCCTGGAAGAGCATTACTGTTAAAATGTCATAACTAAAACTTATCTCCCTAATATATTTCAATCAGTGTTTATTCACATTGTGTATACTGCAATCTTTCCCTTCAACCCTTTAATTAACTCCAAATAATAATTCTCCTTACTGTCTGACATACCATTCTTATGATGCTAGTTCGAAGAATTTGTTATTGGATCAAATAATCCCCTAAATGATACTATTCTTTATTCTCATCAATTTTTTTGTTTAACTGATATTGTCTTGTCACCCATGGGAATTAAAGAGCTAAGTAAAACACTGAAAATACCTAGCTCAGAAAGCATTAAACAATGATTTTTAGAAGAATGTAGGTGTCATGCTTTAAAATTCCAGACATCGGCAGTAAGAATATTTTTAGCAATTAGAATTTATATGGCGCACAGATATGAATGATCCAATACCCTTCGCAGAAAATAAAAAAATTTTTAATGATAATGGCAGCCAACTAAAATCACTATAAAGTTACATAGAGATAAAACCTAATTCCCTTAGGAAGATAAAAACACTTCATTACTGGAGGTAACAAACTAAAAGCTTGGCTCAAAAGGTAAGTTTTGAGACTATGCTTAAAACTAGGTACAGGTCAGTAATGTCACTAAGTAAACTTCCAGTCTCAATCACTCTGACGAAGGGCTAAGGCTCGAAACATCAACTGTTAAACTCTTTACAGTGGCAAATTTACCCTAACAATTCAGTTGATAATACTAAATTACCCTGGTATAATCTCTCTCACCAACATAGCACCACAGTTTCTATAGAAACTTACCCCCTTTATTCCAAAGGTTCCATCACCCTGGAATATGACCTCAGCAAGTTGATAAAGAGGTCATAAGAAGTTAGTTATCAAGTGCATGCACAGTACAAAGCCTCAGGTGGATACTGGTGTAAACACAAGCTCAAAGGGGCTGTGTATTCTAACCTTGGTTTCTTAAAATCCATCCCACAAGGACAGCTGATTCTTTTGTAAAAAGTTAGCTCTTGGTTTGCTAAGGGAATAACTCTACAACAACAAAGCTCTAGAGCACTGACTAAGGGAAACCTTTGCCACACTTGATGTGAGGAACAAAATGTTATGGGAACAGAAATGAACACACTACATATTCTTAACATAGATTTTTCCATAGAAATCAACACAAATGCAACAAACTAAACATTCAGTAACAGGAGTTTTTTGTTCTAATCTTGACCCTCATTTAAAATGTTTTTTTGGTTATGGATGGATTTGTTCTGCAATAGTTTCCATCTATAACCAGTTAAAAATTGAAGATTCCAATGACACACACTGCATGTACTATCCAATGTTTAGAAATGCCATGTTTGAGTTTAAACCTGTCTCTCTTGAGCACTAAAATCCCCTTTTACACAGAAAAGTTTTTTCTTGCACAAAGGGCAAAGGCTCTGCTTAGAAATTAAGAAATTCTATTGACATGTACCAGTAAATAGAAGAAGATAAAGGAAAAGATCAGTTTCCTTATCTTTAGAAGTTCCTCTTTGAACTATTTACACTTAATTTTCTCAGCAACAGTTTGGTGTGGTAAGTATTCTCCTACAGTGTAAGTATAATATCCATTGTAAGAGGAGGACATTTTGGAGTTTGAATAATAGCATTTGTAGGTTAGAAAAATCCACTTTCATTTAGCTAAGAACTTTCTTCAAAGAGAAATTCTAACCCAGATTAAATATGCCAACAAAACAACCTCTTGCTCTCTAAGAAAAACAAATTAACTGTGTTTGCTCCAATCAGTCAAGAAAAAAATATTCAATTTTCCACCTGGAAAATATTTCTTCCATAACTAAAACTGATTTAAAATTTCTCTTTCAAAATATTATCATCGGCAACAGGGGTGTAATTAAAAAATGGCTTATCTTTATGGTGATGTCCAAGTTACATTCATCAAATTAGATACGATAAGCATTTGCCAATAAACAACTTCCAAAGAGCATAAAAGGATAGTTATTGCCTTGTAGAATTTTCAGGGTATAGTTCATAATCTTTTGTACTATTCTCACAGAAGTATTTCTAGGAAACATCGAGGGCTTTTTCTAGGAGGAGAGTAGTCAGAGAAATGAAATCATTTCAAGGAAACTTTATAAAATGACGTTGGGTTTATATTTTATTGTAGTAACATTTTGTAATAATAAAGTTTTGTTGTTCTTAGAGAAAAAGAAGAAATGAAAATTAGTTTGGTATTCCAAAAGTTACTTGAAAGAACTTGTATTAGTCCATGGATACATTCAATATAAAATATATCAATGAAAGTGAAATTTCATCTGTTAGAAAATAGGTAATGTTCAACTCATATAAAAAAAAAAATAAAAAAAAAAAAAACCACTAATCATATATCTGCATGTATGAGGAGTATATAAGTAGGTAAATCTCTTGGTATTTTTCGTTGACTGGTAAAAGCTACAATAAAAATTATAAAATTCAAATATTTACATTTTGTATGTGATTTCCACTTGAGAGACTTTACCTCAACAGAGAATTACATTAACCCAGTCCACCAGACTAAATGATATCCAATGAGTTTTGTGAATGATGAAGAAAGTAAATTTTTAATTTTGAGTTACAACAGTTTTCAATGAGTCGTTTTAAAAGTTTTGACCTGAAAATATTTACGAAATCTGGGAAATTATCTGTCGTAGGAATTTGTTTCATTTGAAAATAACCTTTTAACTGGTTCACTAGCTCTTGAATAACAGTATTGCTCAATTCATTTAATCCTTTCACCCCCAGATCTAATTAGTAATTCTCCTTATTGTCTGCCAACCAATTCTTATGACAATAGTTTGGAGAATTTGGTAGTGGGTCAACTAATAATCTCTCAATTGTCTCCTTGATGTTGTATTCATTTGCTATGGTAAGGAAAATTCTTGGTTTCTTGGTCACTTATGGGAGTTGAGGGTAATAAGCTGAGACTTCTTCTCTGCTGGAAAATGTGATTGGTCATTTTTTAATCTTAAGAGGACTTTTAGTTAAATTCATTCAGTGCAGAAATCATTCCCTGAAAGTTTAATGTTACTGTACATTGAAAAACATACTTTACGATAGTTGCTACTGACAGTAACTGTACTTTCTACTTTTTGTTATCATCAGAACATTTTGGAAAGTCAAACTAATGTGTATTATTTATAGCAATGTTCTCTAATTTCTTACTGTAAAGTTAGTCAAACAACTTACTATTTGCAGAGTTCTCCATCATCAATCTCCTGTGCATTTTCCATTCCAATTATCCAATCCTCTTTGAATCCCTGTTTTTATCCTCATCTTTCAACTCTGCAAATCCAATAAAATAATTGATTAATAACATAAAACACACATGGTTAGTTTTCTTTTTGTCAGATAAGCCATCTACTGTGTTTAAACTAGCATTAGTGGCCTTATTAACCCTTTAACTCCCATGAGTGACCAAGACA